GTGTATTCTTTACACTTACATTTTCATAGTGAGAGTCGGGTGTATTCATGTTTTTCTATATAAAAGAATTTTTTTTTTTTTAAATAAAAAAGTCACATTATGATAGATTAATTTGTTTAAAATCACAAATTAAACATTAAACGTCATTTAAAACAAATTTTAAATAGATACTAAGGTTTGTGTTGCATTTTCTTCAACTGAATTTCTCGCTTGACACAAACAGCTGATTTGAAATAATGCCGAAGAAGATAGGGTTACCAAATATTCCCCTTGTGACAGAACTTACGTTCCATAAGTCGAGCTTAGAAAAGATTTCAAGGCGCGTCGGTCTTTTGCGCAGTTTTTCCAATTTGAAATATCATTTTCGGTGATATTGTCTTCGATTTGATCTTTCCAATATACTCTTGACCTTCCCTTCTGCGCGAACCATCAGCCGGTTCGCTTTTATATACCTTCTGGGCTGGGGCATATTCATGCATTCTGACAACATGACCTAGCCACGTCAACTGAATGATATGACTACGTTAGTCATATCATTCAGTTGACGTCTATCAATGTCGATGTCCGAAAATAGCTGGTACAACTCATGGTTCATTCGACGGCGATATTCACCATCAACGCAGATAGGCCCATAGATGTTTCGGAGAATTTTTCTCTCAAACACTTCAAGAGCTGCCTCATCTGCTTGCGTAAGTTCCCATGCTTCAGATCCATATAACAGCACGGGTAGTATCAGCGTCTTGTAGAGTGTGAGTTTGGTCTGGCGGGAGGTGGCCTTGCTTTTGCTTCACTATCCTTCTCCGAATTTCTAAAATTGATGTCATTCGTTTTGTTTATGGCGGTACCAAGGTATATAAAATCTTTGACTACCTCGAAGCTGTAGTTCTCAAATTCCACAGTTTGTCCGAGTCTACTGGACGTCTTGAGCGTTGATACCATCAGCTTGGTCTTCTCGCCGTTTACTGCCAGACCCATTTTGGCAGACTCCTTCTCAATTTGTTCAAAGGTGGCTGTTACCCGCTCGCAATGTTCGACCCCTTTTATCGATGTCATCGGCGTAGGCGAGTAACATGTGTTGTTTGGTGTACAGAGTACGATTTCTGTTTACTTTTGCCTCTCGTATGACCTTTTCCAGCAGGATGTCAAAAAAGGTCACATGACAAACTGTCACCTTGTCTAAATCCTCGTTCGGTATTAAAGGGCTCCGAGAGGTCCTTTCCGACGTTAGCTGCTGATCTTGTGCCACTTAAAGTTATCCTGCACAGTCGTATTAATTTTACAGGAATGCCGAACGTAGACATGGTTTCAAACACCTCTTAACGGATAGGGCTGTTGAATGCGGCTTTATAGTCAACGCATAGGTGGTATGTTTCGATGTGTTTTTCATGGGTCTTTTTTAGGATTTGGCGCAGAGTGAAAATCTGGACAATGGTGGACTTGCCAGGTCTGAAGCCGCAATGGTATTGCCCAATAATGTTGACCAATTGGCTTCAGCACACAGCACGCTGGATAGCACTTTATATGCGATGGGAAGGATACTTATTCCTCTATAGTTGGCACATATCGTCTTGTATCCTTTTTTGTGCACGGGACACAGGATGCTGAGGTTCCAATCATTGGGCATACATTCCTCTAGCCATATTGTACTAATCAGCTGGTGCATGCTCCTGACCAGCATCTGACCACCAGTCTTGAATAGTTCGGCTTGTAACTCATCGGCACCTGCTGCTTTATTATTCTTCAGCCGATTGATTGCTATTTTGACTTCATCTTGGCTAGGTGGTATACACTCTATACCGTCATCTATTATTGGTTCTGGGGTATCCTCTTCACCGCCAGTATTTGATACCAGCAGTTTTTCAAAATGTTCCTTCCAGATCCTCAGCACACTGTCTGTATCTGTCACCAGGTTTCCTTCTTCATCGCTACAGGAGGATGTGCCTGCACCAAAGCCTTCGGTTTGGTGTTTTACCCGTTGGCAGAATTTTCGGACTTCATTCTGACTCCTGTATATCTCAATTTGCTCATGATCCCTTTTTTGTTCTTGTTTCTGAAAATACGTTTTCCTCTCTCCTTTGCTCCCGATAATTCTCCATCAAATTACGTGTTGCTACTGTCTGTAGGGTTGCCCTATACGTTGCGTTTTTCATATCAGTAGCATTACGACACTACTGATCGTACCACGGATTTCTTGATGGTGGTCTTTGGTACCCAAGGAATGCTTCCCATTGTAATTTTTTTTCAAAAAAAATTAACCCAACCCCCTCCCGAATAGAAGAAATAAAAACACACAATAATGATTTAAGTTTTTAGAATGATTTTGGAAAATATATATTTGTTGTTGTTGTTGGATAGGATTTGTTTTTATCTTTTTTCTTCAAGTTATTTTTTCTTTTAAATTCTTTTCTTTTTATCTTTCTTTTTTTAAATATATATTTTTTTCTTTTGAAGATAGGATTTTAAAGATTTGTCTTTGTTTTACAATATTTAGGTGAAAAAAAGAGTGTTGTGGTATTTTACATTTTTTGTTTAATTGATAAGTGGTGTTGTGGGGGAGATAGTAAATATATAAAAAAATAAATTAAATATTTATAAAGATACTTTTTTATTTTTCATCTAAGATCCTTAAGAATTAAATAAAAAAAAAAAATTACAAAAAATAATAAAAAAAAAACAAAAAACTTAAATATCACAGTTTACAATTTGTTACATGTATTATATATAATGATATATATAATGATTATATATGCTAAAAAGTTTTATATATGATTTTTTTTAACATTAATTTTTTGTTTTTATATTGAGTTTTTGAAAAAAAATATATATACAATATTAAAACAAAAAATTTATAATGCAATAACAAAAATGGCTGAAGGAAATATTAGAGAGGGTTTAAAAGAGCTCTTTAAAAAATAATTACATTAGTTTTGTATGACTTGTGGAGAGGAGATATACAGCCTTATTCTGGATATTCGCTGGGAGATATCTCGCATATAAAAAATTTTTCGCTTTCACATTCTCGCCTTATTCTGAATGAATAGGGAGACGCAAAAAATGCGAGATGCGGATTCGAGTTTTTCGAAAATGGTGGTTGAAAAAAAGATTCGTGTTGCCATATCGTAAATTAAGTTGCGCTGTGTGTGGCCATATTGTAATTTAAGTTGCAATGTGTGTTGCCCCATTGTAATTTAATTGTGTAATATTTTTCAATATATTATTTATTGATTTTTGTTATTAAAAATTGTAGCTTTTTATTGTTATTTAAACTTTATAGCAATACAAATGTGAAATATCAAGAATCCGCTGTATAAATGCTTTGTAATTAAAAGAAAATAAATTAAAGTTTGAAAATATGGCAACCTACAATATGGCATGTGAAACAGCTGTTCATTGTTTTGATGCAATTTGTTGCAACAACTACAATAGATTACAAATAAAAGAACATTTTTTTATGATGGCAAAAACACAACGAATAATAGGAAGAAATCTGCGATTTAATTAATTAATTCACAGTTTATTATTTCACTACATAATTGTGTGTCTTTTTATTTAATTTTGATATTTTATCTCCCCAAATTCTTAAAGTGGTCAGTTATGTTATGATTTGCTCCTACTCCTTTATTTCTTCCTTCAAATCATGCACACGATAATTCTGAAAAAAAAAATATTTTTTGTTCTTTCATAATTTTTATATCAGTTTTTATAGCGGCTCATCAGGCAAATTTGGTTTTTCCATAATTTTTAAAATTTTTTTCTTGAGAGACAGATCCTCACACAAATGTCTGTATTTCGCCTCCAAAATGCATCAAACTCGACTTAAATATTCCTTATTACCTTCATACATTCTTTGGCAGCATGCATCGTTATCAATGGGATTTCCAATGGCATTTTATTGACTGTTTTCCAGTTAAAAATTTGCTTACTATCATTTATAATATTCTAAATCGTCATAGAATAAGTATTGTGTAAATATTTTTCATAAAAATAGTTATTACTTATGTTTTTGTAGTCAACTCCCCTTAAATTTATTAGCGAAAAATTTCGCACAAAATTTCATCTCATCTGTAATTCAGAATACCTAATTTTTCGCCAAAGCGGATTTTTTCGCTTTCGAACTTCATTCAGAATAAGGCGAAAGCGAGAATGCGAAAAAATTCACTGGAAAATGTTGTTCAGAATAAGGCGAAGGGAAAGAGCGAGTAAATTCACATGGAATTGACATCTAGAATAAGGCTGATAATTAATATTTAAAAAAATTAAGAATTAAATATTAAAAAATTAAATATATATAGAATACTACAAAGCCATTTTTATACAAGAAAAAGGAAGAAAAAAATGTAGAAGGAATTTATAGAGTTGTGTGAGTGTGATTCTGTTGGGTATTATTTTTTTCAATAGCTTTTTTTTATATACAAATATGGATTTTTAAAATTTTTTTAATATTGAAATTATTTTTGAAATTTGTGTTTAATTTTTGATAATTAAAATTGCTTATTTTTGTTTTGTTCTATTTTACAAATTGAAATTTTTTCCAGTCAAAATTTCAAAATTATTTTTTGAAAAAAAATTGAATTTTCAAAATTTTTTTCTTTATTAATTTTTGGAAACAATTTTTTGACTGGATTTCATTATTTTGTTAAAAATTATTTTTAAAAAATTTTGATTTTTTTCTTAGCATTTCCAAGCTTGGAAATATTTATAAGCATCAAAAATTCCAAAAAAAAAGTTTTTTTTGAAAACAAAATACTGAATAAAGCCTTTTTTTGGAGTTGCTTATAAACATTTCCACTTGGATTTTTTTTCTTATTGGAATGGTTGTGGTGAGATTTTTTTTCTTCCTTTTTTCCTAATTTCCTTTTTTCTTCTTCTTTTAATTTTTTGTTTCAAAATTAACCCTTTTTCCAGTTTAAAATTTTTTAGATTTTGAAATGAGATTTGTATTTTTGTTGTTGTTGTTGGGGGGAAAAATAAAAAAAAATTGAGGATGGACCCCCAAAAATTTACTGCTGCTGCGGTATCATTGGGCTGAAATTCACAGCCGCCACCTGTTGCTGTAAGCTCAACAAATCCGAGGCATTACAGATTTGTAGTTGCAGGGCAGATGTTGTATTGGTTCCATTAATTTGTACTGTATTCAGGCTATTTGTAGACTGGGTGGTGGTGGTAGTGTTGCAAGCGGTTGCTGGTGCAATAGGTCTCAAATGTTTAATCAGAGGGTTGTTTTCAACCACAAGACTGCTGGAAGCATTCACAACAGATGGAGTTGTTGCAGCAGCCGCCGCCATACCATTCCGACTTCCGTCCTGTTGACGTTTTGAGGCATGTCTCTTCACATGCTTCGACAGATGATCGCTGCGCATAAATTTCTTATCGCAGACATGGCAAACGAATTTCTTTTCGCCCGTATGGGTACGCTTGTGCCTCGAAAGCTCATCGGAACGTGAGAAACGCTTATCGCAATTTTCCCATTTGCAGATGAAGGGTCGTTCGCCGGTGTGTACTCGCTGATGGGCCTTCAAATGGCTGGATTTGAAATAATTTTTACCGCAATCCGGGTGATTGCATTCATAAATGCGTTTACGTTCCGCAGAGGGAGCGGCAGAAGGAGCAGCAATGGATGTTGTGGTGGCGGGTGTTGAATTTTGAGGTGCAACTGGAACGGCAGGAATAATGGGGCGGGAAGTGGTGTTGTTGTTATTGCCTAAACTTTGCAACAACACATTGGGATTCAGCAACAAAAATTGGGCCGTGGCATTTGTATCGGCCAACAAATAATTTGTCTTCGGGGCCACTAACTGATATTGCAGGGCCACATTTTGCCCAGCAGCAGCTGGACTTGCATTTGGCAATGTAAAACGGAATTGTGTGGTATTTGTTGATTGGGAATTATTTAGTTCGGGATTTTTGGTTTCTTCTAATACTTTTTGTTCGATGCGGGTAACTTCTTTCACTTCCTCCAATGTGGACGCCTTGACAACATCCTGTGTCAATTCCGAATCGGAATTAAAGTCTGTAGTCTCTGTGGCTGTACGTTTACGATTCATTTTAAATTTTAAACTACGCCATACATTCGTTTCCGAATCATCAATATCCGATGATGCTATCGATGAGGCGGAGGAGCAGGATGATGAGGCAGACAAAGAGGAGGTGGACGAGCAGGATGATACTGTGCTGTTGGTTTGTGAGATACTGGATATGGTTGATGAACAGGAATTTTCATCGATGGACGAACAAATGCCCGAACTATTGACATGCATGATCACACTGGCCCGCTGCTGTTGACCCAATAAATTGTTAGGTGTTGTGGCCGGTGTGGGTATATCCAATTTTGGCTTCTTCACTGCTGGTGGTTTACTACCATCATCATCTTCTGTATCTGAGGGTTGTGGTGTTATCAGCCCTGGATTTGAGGATGATTTGTGGTGTTTTTGTTGTTGCTGATCTAATTGTAGTTGTAATTTTGCTTTTAACAGCTTATCATCCAAATTGTGGGATACTGTATTGGAGTTCTGGAAGGAGAAAAAGAAATAAGAGGGGAAATTAGTAAATTTAAAATAAAAAATCTATTTTTTTAAATAATTTTATTTTTTTTTGAAGTATTCTATTTTTATTTTTATATTTTTGTTATAAAACATATTTTTATAAAAAAATATTTTTATTTTTTTTATAAAAAAATATTTTTATTTTTTTTTATAAAAAAATATTTTTATTTTTTTTATAAAAAAATATTTTTATTTTTTTTTATAAAAAAATATTTTTATTTTTTTTATAAAAAAATATTTTTATTTTTTTTTTATAAAAAAATATTTTTTTTTTATAAATTAATATTTTTATTTTTTTTATAAAAAAATATTGTTATTTTTTTATAAAAAAATATTTTTATTTTTTTATAAAAAAAATATTTTTATTTTTTTATAAAAAAAATATTTTTATTTTTCTTTTATAAAAAAATATTTTTATTTTTTTAATTCCTTGTTTCATCAAATTTGAAAATTCCTCATATAATGCATAAGTACTGTATTTGATGTACTGTATTTATTCCCTCTTGAAGGTGTGTGCCTTTGCTAACATGCCCGCCTGCCTTGTTGTCTGCCTAATGCAAAACAAAAGTACCAACCAACCACCATCGTGTTTTGTTTTGCATTTTACAAAAATTCTATGTCATTCCCTACTAGCAAGTTCAATTTGGTTTCAAAATTCAATTTGTTCGCATTGCCTGCCTTCTGAGTGAATTCATTCAATTTCATTCACAACATGACACTGTCAAATAAATACGTACAATGCATGTCTAACCAGGCGCACAGCATGAACAAAAAAGCAAACAACATTTTGCCTTTTTTTTAGATAATTCACAGTAAAACAGAAATTATTCACAGAGAGAGAGTATACGAGACTCTCTCTCTCACTTACTCATCATCAACAAGAAAAAAAATTGTTGTTATACATTTGCACTGAACCAAATACCAAGAATAAATCAAAACAACAACAACACGACCAAACCAACCCACTTGTGCTGTGCTTTGGTTAGCACGCGTTCAATGCATGATTCGCGTCTAGCGTCATTGTTGTTGCTACATATCATCATTTATACTGTTTCAAAGGTCCAAACTACGTCATATGGCATGGTCACAAAAAACAGAATGTAAAACAGCAACAACAGGATAGGATAGTGGAACAAAAACAACAACAAATGATAAACGAGCGCATGAGGAATGTTCATGGTATGTTGTCTCATAAAAAAAAACGGGCTTGGTGTGACCATCCGGTGTACGGATGATGATGATATCAACAGAAAAATACAACACGAAAAAACGCGCCATTTTTTCTCTCCCCACCACTTAAATAAACTACAAAGAAGGCCGGCCAACCAACCAACAACAATAAAAACACATGAACAAGATACTCCCTCTTTTTTTAAAATAACAGGCGTACAGAATTAATAATAAACAACAACAAGGCAAACACAATATTTACGTCAACAAAAATAAATTGTCTACTTTGTCTTCTTCTTCTTCATTTCTAATAAGACCAACAAAAAAAATTCCACTATTAATGACTGTTTGGGTTTTTTCTCTAAATCTCTACTACAAGGGGATTTTTTTTTCTTTCCCCACACACTCAATGCCGTTAATGGTGAGCCACAGAAAACCTTTTCTCCCTCTACTACTCTCACACAATACAACTCTCGGCAAGTAAATACACGAATAACCACAACAACGACGACGGACGACCATACCCCCAATATAACAACAACCACACACACTCACTATAGTACGTAGTGGATTAGCTGCCTCCTTTTTTTACTTGCTCTCTTTGTCTCTCTCCCCAACTAACTGTGTGTACTATTTTTGTTATTGCCTAATACGTAAGTGTGCTGTGTTGTGCTGATGCTTGTTCTTCTTAGTGTACTCTAACTAAAGCTCTCTGTGTGTTGTGTTTATTTCTCGGAGTTATATGTATACATTGTAGTTGTTGTATAGGTCGTTCGTTTGTTTGCTGCTGTGTGGTGTGTATTATAAACACACATAAATCCATACATGTCTGGTTGATGGCGGCGTCGTCTGTTGTACTTTATACTGCTGATGGTGTTGTTGTTTTTGCTGTTTTTTTTATTTTATTATTGTATCACTCATCCACTTCATGGCTGTGTGTTTCCCATTCAGTGTTCACGTGAACACCAGCTGATAGACGAATGATTACTGCGTGATCAGAGTGTGGCCAATGTGTTAGAAAGAGAGCGAAAACATTTGTTTTCAAATTTTTTGCCAGTCAGAAAGAGACAAGGCAAAGTATTTATAGGTAACACAAAAAAATGGGTAATAATAATAAAAAAAAAACAGCAACAGCAAATACAACAAAACAAATACACAAATGATACAGTCAGAGTTATAATAATGAAATAATTTAAATAAAAGAAGAAGAATAAATATGCAATGTTATTTGATTATAAATCTATTTTTTTTCTTCTTCTACATCTTTACGATATTTATTATTATTATGATTATATGATTCGTCATAGACGACGTTTGATGATGATTTTTGAGGGTGCGACAATCTGTGTAGTAATAAAAAAATTAGGTGATTTCGTTCATTCCCTGCTATCGTTGTTGTTGCTATTTGCACCCAGTATTTAAAAAAAATTATCTTGGAACGTGTCTGCCAGACAATTTTGTTGTTGATTTTATTATTTTTTTCTAATAATAATTTGTGTTTTTTATATATAAAAAAATTATTGCAGGTCATTGTAAAAATTAAATTCCTAAGGTGATTTATTTTTGATTTTTATGAGAAAAATAAAATAAAAATTCCCATAAAGTAAAATTGTTGTTGGTTTTTTAACAAATAAAAAATTTTTATTCTCTTAAGGCAAAAAAATATTTTTTTATATTAAAAAAAAAAATGAGAAAAAAAAAATAATATAATGAAATTTTGTGAACATTTTTTTATTGAATTTTTTTTTTACAATTAAAAAAAATATGAATGCATTTTTTGGCAAAAATAAGAGTTTTTTTTTATTAAATTTTTTTCGCCTTTATGGAAGTTTTATGTTTAAAAAATATCAACAATTTATTTTTTAATAGTAAAATATTTTTTGTATAAAAATTTCCCTTTGGGATATTTTTCATTTCCTGCGGTATTTGTTATTTTTCTTTGTAAACTATATAAATAAATTCAAAATTCATTGATTTCATGTGGAAATCAAAATTTCCCTCTTAGGGAAATCTTTGTCTTTCAGAATTTTTTAAAAATTTCCTATATTTTCCCGGTCTGAAAGCAATTCTAAGACGTTTGGTGTTAAAAAATAAAAATTTCCCTTTTGGGAAATTTCAAGGGAATTTTTTTTAATTTCAATTTGATTTCAAAATTCGTTAGAATAAAAATAATTATTAATATTTTGCTGAATTTCAATAAATTTTGAAATATTTGCCCATTGTGAAATTCCCAATTTTGGCGAAAAGTAAAAATTTCCCTTTTTGGGATTTTTTTTATTCATGGAAATTTTGCAAATTTCATTGTGATATAATAAAGAGTATTAAAAATTTATACCCTTTTGAGAAATTTTGAAATATTTTTCAATTGTGAAATTAACAAAATTAAGTCAATTTTGAAAAAAGATTAAAATATATATATATTTTTGCTCATTATTAGAACTTTTTGATATTAAAAATTACATTTCACCAAAATTTAAAAATTTCCAACACCTGTTTACGAACCCTAAAATGTGACCTAGGTCCTAATTTCGTGGTAGGAATTTTGAAGTAGAATTTCCACACAATGGCAATGAATTTCAAAATGTAGGACCGTTTCTAATCTATATTTTTAAATTCGGAGCTCTTGACTTCAATTTCCCAAAAAATCAATACCTTTTTTCAAAACAAAAATTTCAACTTTTACACAATTTTGCTAAATTTCAATATTTTAGCTCATTTCTACTCTATATCATAAAAACTTGACCTCATCAACCTCAAATCCGCAAAAAATCATTAAAAATTTTTCAAAACCAAAAATTCCCCTTTTATTTGGGAAAACGAAATATCAAAATTTTTTGAATATTTTTTAAGCTTTTTCAATGAAAATTAACCAAAAAATCCCTATTTTGGATATAAAATTTTTTTTCCAGAATTTTTTAATATTTTTCGAAATTCCCCAAAAATACTTACATTTTCATTTTTGTTTTCGCACAATGGCGGTGTGGCCGGTGGTGAGGGTAATAGAGTGATATCCATGTTTTTATTGGTATTTGCTGAATTTTCACAAATTTTGCTTGAAATTTTTGTTTTAATAAATCCGTTTTGTGATGGAGTTTTTTCTCTTGATTTTTTGCTTTCAAAATTTATTTTTTCTTTATTTTCAAAACACTTAAAACTGTTACTTTTTTATCTTAAGGTGTTTTGCTTTTGTTTGTCTTCACTTAAGAGATTTTTCTTTTAGAATTTCTTTCTTCTCAAGATTTGTTCTTTGTCTCACTTTATATATTTATTTTTCAAATTAATTCTTTCATTTAATTTCTTCTTTTGAAATAATTTTATTTTTTATTCTTTTTTAATGTAAACACAGGGCATATTCTTGCCAAAGACTGAGAGAGTCTGAGTCTGAAACACAACCGTTCCGTTGAACAATCAACAAACGAATGAAAACATATCACAATTTCATTTCAAAAAGTTAAGTTAGGTTGCTTGGCCGTCTGGCTGGCTTGCCTTGCCTTCTGTTGATGTTTTCATTTATGTGGGGAGTGAGCGCCAAACCAAACACAACACCGCACACACACAATACAAGCAGTTCATTTTGTATCTGTGTGTGTGTGTGTCCGTTTGTCTGTTGTGTGATGAGGAGTCACGACGACACAACTTTACGTCAGCCATACGATGATGGTGGTTTCGTTCCGTAGTAGGTTGTTGTTGTAGTGGAATCTCATTGAAAAAGAAGGCTCGCTTGTTCGTTCGTTGTTGGCGACGACGACGAAAACCCCACAAACTTCGATAGCCATCAACGAAAAACGTCGTAGTATGCATTTGTGTTGAATTGTATTGTTGTTGGCCTGGTCTGTCACTGTTGCACATACATGTATGTGCATGCATTTCATCAACAATAACAGACAGGCGAAAAATAGGGGCCAGCAGCCAAGTTCTTCGTGAAATTTTTGCGGACTTTGTTTTGGGGTGTGTAAATGCGAACACATTCCCCCCATCCACCCCTCTGAAAGACAGTGGCGTTTCGTGAGATTTATGTATGTTGAATTTTCATCATTGGCATGTAGGACGTTACAAAAAAAAAAAAACCCTCTTAAGGTTTGTTGTGGGGTTTTTGTTGTTGTTGTTGTCGTAATTTCACCTTAAAATTAGCAGTGACAATTTCATACCAATGTGCTAATTTTCTTTTCTTTGTAGTTTCGTTTTCTTGTTCTAATTGAAAACGTCATAATTTGTTGGTCTATTTTTTTCGAAGAGCAGGGGGGTTTTTGTGGGGTTTTGGTCGGAAAATTGGTAGAAAACTAAACAGTTTTTTTATAAGAAAAATCACACTATTATATTCTTTTGAACAAAAATACTTTTTTCGATATAAAAAGAAAGCATTTTTTTATTTTGACTTTTGAAAAAATTTTATAGAAAATCAATTAAAATGATAAGTAAAAAAATTAAATAAAAAAACATATTTAAAAAAAAAAAAACTTACACACATTTTATTTTAATTTTTGCAGGGAAAGTGAGATAACTTTTTTTATAAATAAAAAATATATATTTTTAAAAATACATTCTTAAAAAACACGTAAAATCTTTTATACAAATTCACGGCTAAAAAATATTTTTTATAACAATTTTTTTATATAAGAATCTTTTTTTTTTATAAAAATCGTCCACCTACAAAATATTTTATATAAACAAATATTTTTTATAAGAATCCACTCCTAAAAAAATATTTTTTATAAAACACATCAATCCAACAAAACAAAATACTTCTTATAAGAATCAACTCCAAAAACATTTTTTTTTATAAAAATCCACTCTTACAAAATATTTTTTATAAAAAACATCCACGCCTAAATAAAAGTAAAAAATATTTTTAAAATATATATTTTTTTAAAAATCTACAAAAAAAATCTACCTACAAAATATATATATATATATATATATATATATTATAAAAATCCACGCCCAGAAAATGTATCTTTAAAAATCCTCGTCTAAAAAATGTATTTTTAAAAATCCAGGTTAACAAAAATTATTTTTAAAAATCCGCGCCTACAAAAATATGTTTTTATAAAAATTCACCCCTAATTTTTTTTATAAAAATCCACGCCTAAAAACTATGTTTTTATAAAAATTCACGTCTAAAAATATTATTTATAAAAATCCACGCCTAAAAACTATGTTTTTATAAAAATTCACGCCTAAAAATATTATTTATAAAAATCCACGCCTACAAATATTCTTTATAAAAATCCACGCCTGAAAAATATTCTTTATAAAAATCCACGCCTAAAAAATATTTTTTTATAAATATCCACGCCTGAAAAATATTCTTTATAAAAATCCACGCCTAAAAATATTATTTATAAAAATCCACGCCTAAAAACTATTCTTTATAAAAATCCACATCAAAAAATATTTTTCATAAAAATCCACGCCTACAAAAAAATTCTTTGTAAAAATCCACGCCTAAAAACTATTCTTTATAAAAATCTACGCCTAAAAAATATTCTTTATAATAATCCACGCCAAAAAATATTTTTTATAAAATTCACGCCTAAAAATATTCTTTATAAAAATCCACGCCTAAAAAATATTCTTTATATATAGAAAAATACACGCCTAAATATTTTTTTATAAAAATCCATGACTAAATTTTTTTTATAAAAAATCCACGCCTAATAATACTTTATAAAAATGCACGACTAAAAAATACTTTTTTTATAAACATCCACAATATCTTTTAAAAAAATCCACGTCTGATTTTTTTTATAAAACTCCACGCCCACAAAAATATTTTTTTATAAAAAATTTTGTTTTTCTATTTTCACAGAAAACTGCATATGTCAGAAAAAACAATCCAGACATTAATATCGACCATAAATTAAATTTGAGTACCATTTAGTACCAAATTTCATGATTCGAGCTCTAAAGGTTCACTCAAATCCAAATTTTACATTTAGCACACATTATTTCCATAAGTACCCTCCTCAACCATCTAAAAAAACTTCCTGCATACCCCGATCGTACACCCCTACAATGATTCCAAATTCAAATTTCAGGATTCCAACTCTATTGGTTAACCCACAATTAAAATTGTACCAATTTTAGTACACAGTAGTACGAATATCCAAAACTTCCTAAATACCCCAATCATACACACCGACAGTGATTCTAAACCCAAGTTTCAGGATTCTAACTCTATCTGTTCACCCACAAATTAAATTGTACTAAATATAGTACACAGTGGTACGAATTTCTAAAACCTCCTTCCTAACCCAATTTGATTCCAAATTCAAATTTCAGGATTCCAACTATATTGGTTCGCCCACAATTTAAATTGTACCAAATTTAGTACGCAGTAGTTCGAATTTCGAAAACATTCTACATACCCCAATTCTATCCCCCACACTGATCCTAAATCCAAGTTTCATGATTCCAACTCTATCGGTTCACCCACAATTTTAATTGTACCAAATTTAGTGCACAGTAGTACCAGTTTCCTGATAATTGGAATTAGGACTACTATTGGAGTATAGGATTGAGGTAGCTTTAAAAAATCGTGCTTATTTGTATGAAAAGTACTAAATGGTACTAAATTTGGTGTAAGTTGGATTTAGGGGAACAGATGGAGCTGGAGTCTTCAAATTGGGAATTAAAATGACTGTTGAAGTATAGGACTGAGGTAGATTAGGAAATTCGTACTTATTGGTACGAAAGGTACTATATGGTACTAAATTTAGTACAATTTGAATTTTGCTTCAAAGGATAGAATTGAGATATGGAAGCATAGTACTTATGTGTACTAAATGATACTATATTTGGTACAACTTCATTACGTGTGAACAGAAAATTACTATTGGAGTGCAGGATTGACATAGTTTAGGAAATTCTTAATTATAGAAACCAAAAGTACTAAATGGTACCAAAAAGTTTACAAATTATTTTTGTGTTAACGGATTGGGCTGAGATTTTGAATTGAGATATGTCGGTAGTTTTTAAAATTTCCTCATTATGTGTACTAAATAGTACAAAACTTGGTACAAATTTGACTAGAGTTAAGGGATAGAGATGGTAAACTTAAATTTGGAAAGAAAATTACAGAATTAAGGAAGTATTGGAATTTCGTACTTATTGATACGACAAGCACTAAATGATACTAAATATGGTACAATTCGTTTTGTATGAGCGGGAATCCTAAAAATTGGACTTAATAATGTGGTTGGGGCGTAGGATGAGGCATGGAGGTAGTTTTAAAATGCTCAATTATGTGTACTAAATGGTACTAAGTTTAGTACATAGATTTGAAAATAAAATTATTCTTAAAGCAAAGGATTGAGACAGTGTATGAAATTCGAACTCATAAGTACGAAAAGTACTAAATGGTACTAAATATGGTACAATATGGATCATTGTGAACGGATAGGGCGGTTATCCTGAAACTTATGAATAAATTTACTGTTTCAGTATGGAATTGTGGCAGTTTCAGAAACTCGTACTTACGTCTACGAAAAGTAATAATTGGTACTAAAGTTGGTACAGTTTGGATGTTGGTGAACGGATAGAGCTGGAATCATTAAATGTTGATTTAAGGTTATTAATGGAGTGTATAACTGAGATATTTTTGGAAATTCGTACTCTGGGTACGACAAGCACAACATTTGGGAAAATTTGGACTTTGGTGAACGGGTAGAACTCGAATCATGAAAGATTACTCTAAGAGTGTAGGAAAAGTACAGAATGGTAACAAATCTGGTATAATTTGGTTTTTAATGAACAAACAGAGCTGGAATTCTTAAATTTTAGACTATTTGAGAGAAGGATTGAGGTACATTTGGAAATTTGTACTTATGAGTACGAAAAGTACAATAAATTTTAGAGTGTAGGAAATTCTTACTTATAAGTATGAAAAGTACTAAATGGTACCAAATTTGAAACAATTTGGATTTGGTTGAATCCACAGATTTGGAATTTAGATTACTGTTGAAGTGTAGTGTTGAGCTGTGGAGACAACATTGGCAACTCGGAGTTTTGTGTACCAATAGCAAATAGAATAGAAAATTCACTATATTTGGAACAATTTGGATTTGGGTAGCGGAG